TGTCGCTCAAATTCATTTACACGTACACCACAGGTAACCCGTGCTTTTAGATACTTACTGTTGTCTGAGTTTGTCGTTGATATATCTCAAATGTGAACCCTTGCTTGTTTACTAATTTGCCGAACGAGCTGAGCAACTCACATGGCTTTTCACCAGGCAAGCCATCAAACTGGTAATTGAATGCCACACACTGCGCGTGACGGAGACAGTTATCTGCACACTGGAATTCAGTGATGACGTTGTAAATTGCAAACACGTGTCCATCCATTGCCGTATTGGAAGTTTTATAGTCCGTGTCGTAATGCTGCCTTAGAAATGAAAACGTGCATTGAGAAGGCCCTTGAGCTGCTGTAGATAAACACATGATAGAGTGGTAAGCATTGTATAGAGGTTTTGCAGCATCACGTGTCCATCCCATAATACTGCTTGAGCTTCCTGTGGTTGGATGGCGGAACAATAAAATTCCTTTGCTCTTAGGAATTGAATTATTTCTCATGTAAAACGATTGTATTGTTGCTGCCATCAAACATGGCTGCCGTCACGTGGTGTCGCAAAACCTCTATTAAATAAATGCGCTTAAAAGTTACTAATGCAACAAAAAAGGGTATAAAATGGAATAAAGTAGAGAGTACGTCGAGGGAGGTTTGATAATGCTAGACTTTGTCTTTGTAGACGCCAGGCATTAAAATTCGACCTAAGGAAATACGATGTGTGAGTAAGCCATGCCTTGAATCAGCCTAGAGTTTTCTGAAAATAAATTGCTGGTTTGCGATCATTACCAAGAGAATGAAATAACAAAAGACACGGCGGCCATGTGGGATGATATGACAAAAGACACTCATGACGAATTGATCTTTTGTTAAATTCATCCAAAATGGAGGCTGTGAAAACCATCGATATGTAATTACATAATCAATCTGCAATAGGACTACATGTCTGTCCAATTTGGCAATAGTTGAGTTCAAAAAATTCCTCTGACTGCCCAAATTGGACTCGGCTTATCGGCCTCTTCCAATTTTGTCAATCCTCGGAATTTTTTTCTTCCAACTATTTCCAATTTGGACAGCATGTAGTCCTATTACCTATACTAATCATTCGGTACATAAAAAATAGGCTGTTTACATGATGGTGTCATTTACTAATGCCAAAATGCTTCGCAAATTTACTTTAGTTATTTCAATCTGTATTGCCTCATGACGGAGCAAGATATCTGATGCTATAATAAGTCTTTTCCATGGCATTACTGGAATAAATATTGGAACTTATCTTTTCAAAATAATTTGCTGGTTTACTAATGTCATATCCAAAACCTTTTTTCAAATTGGGCTGTTTTTTTTCCTTGTAACATCAGTGTTCACGATTTCAAGATACGAGCCCGGCTGTTTGCCAGTCAGCAGATCCTTCCTCAAGCGACCTATGGCTGAAATGATCGTGATTCGTGACTTTGTGATGCAAAGGGGCTATTGATTGAACAAAAAAGGGTTTGTTCAATGGATCATGGTTGTTGTAGTAAAGGACACCATGTATAATGCAAATGTTCTATTTCTATCCAACATGGAAGATGGCAATGGAGTGATCTATCACAAACCCATACTTACATAATGATATAAAAGTGGAAACGATAAAAGCGCCCAAACTAAGATATGTATACATTCCGCTTCTGGAGCCCGTACTATTTTGCCGGCCACGTTATAATTAGTAAGTAAACTGACAGACAGACAGACAAAATACTTGTGTAGATATCAGTACTGCAACGAGAAAGAAGAAATAGGCTTTAATATATAAGGAAAGCATATCAAGCTTTATACTCTATATGTTAGTGTCGAAGTTGGAGTATAGAAAGCTCACTCCATATATGGTATGATCAATTCCATATTTGGATTGTGCGGAAAAGCGGCAAACGAAAAGGCAGTCGTTTTGACGAATTCGACATGAACATCCTTGAAGAAGCAAAAAAAAAAAGCTTTGGAAAATCGAGGAAGGATACGGGGACGATGCTAACTCCTGGGTCTGCCTCGCAGACAACAGACACAGAGAAGTACGACACCTAATGTTTGATATGATATTCTGTGATGGCAATAGCTGAAGGAAACATGACAATGTTTAACAAAAAAACGTCCTGAATCACTTGAAAAACGTGAATCTTGTGTTTAAGGTTTCTTTTGTCTTGTTCTCATATATAAACACTCCTTTCTACCACCTCTTTCTCTTTTACTCCGACGAAGGATTAGCGTCCGAAACTTCAGTAAGTTTTTTCATCTTTTCACGGTGTAAAATTTACCATTATTGTTTAAGGAGCTGGTGCTTGTCACGTGGCACATTATTGCAATTGTCGGTTTAAAAAGAAGGTTCTCGTTCTTATTCTAAGATAAAACAAATTGACTTGAACGAGAAAATCTTTTGATATATTGGATCCAACTTAATGCTTCCTTTCCTATTACAATTATCTATAGTATATATTACCGAAGTAAAAACAAATAAAATGTTACTATTTGTTATTATTGGCCGAGGCAAAGACAAACACTGTCGACTCGGCTATTTACTATTCTCTTTGTTTTTGCCGCAACTGCGGAAGAAAACTGAATAGTGGCAAGCTGTAAAACATATACGGTAGCAAATAATATTATAATACAAATTCTCGGTGAAACTGAAAAGTCTTACAATGTCTATTTTACTACTGAAAGATTCTAGTAATAAAAGGAATCCTGTGTACATGTGCGCTAAAAGCATTTGTTGTTTCTCCAATATTATTTGAACCTAAATATTTCAGCAAAATCAAACGTCCGCGCGGCCATTTTCGTAGACACAGTTTTCCAATATGCAACAAAAACTCTTTTACCTTTTTCTTGATCGCTTTTCAGAACAATGAACGGTTAATTTACTGGGTAAGATTAAAAAAGTAGATTTGAGAGCCATAATGAAAACGCATATGAAGACAAGAAGTTCCTTAGAATACCCGCTGATCAACTGCCACAACAAATAACAGCAGCAACGGCCTCAGCAGTAGCACTGAGCATAAACAACTGCATCATCAACAACAACAGCAGCAGAAGTAACAACAACGTACGACAACAACAACAACAGTAGCGGGAAAACATATAGCACCAACAAAAATAGCATATGGAATATCAGCCGCAAATTCTAGTAATATTTTTTAAAAAGCTATAATACATTACCTTGCTTACGACATTTTAGCAGGACAGAGGTTTGTACAATCTGATTGATAAATCGATTCTACTGATCTAAAGTTACAATTTGACAATAAGCGTCTAAAACCTGTACTTACTGTTCAATTCATCCGCTGGCCAATCAAAAATTTCATCTATCAACTGGAAATCAATATTTATTCTATTAGTTTAAAATACTCTTTGTACAAGTACGTGTTCGTAAGAGAAATACGTATAGTTCTCTGGTTTTCGCAGCTTCTTTAGCCACAAACAACTTCACGCTTTATATAAAGAAAATTAGGAAACAATCCCAGCTGTTTCAACGGGAGATTCATAGAATAAATCATTACAGATGAATATTTGTTTTTTTATTGATCTATCGATGTAATTAGCTGAATTATGCCGTGTCGTTTGACTAAGGAAATTGAATCAGCTGAGTAAAAATTGTACGGCCAAGCAATCTAATTATTTGTTGGGAGTTTAACATTTTTTCCCATAATTTTTTCCTATTGCTGTATTAAATAACATGGCTGCCATGTTCTAAATATTTCATTTCATTAGCATGGAAATATTTTCGATGCAACAATATATAATTTCAAAAATATTCCGAGAAGAAAAATGCCTCGAAAATAACAACAAACGCGTGCAATAATCGTACGAAAGGTAGCCGAGTGCAAACTCCAATAGGAATGCAAGCTTATTTTTATTACCATTAGAGATCTTGAGACATTTTCGGATTTTAATATCTAAAATTATATTTTATTTACCTTTAAGGGTTTTTTTCCTTTTTTTTATTGTTTTTTGCATCGCTGTTTTTTTGTTGTTTTTTTGTTTGTTTGTTTGTTTTTTGTTTTTGTTTTGATTTTGTTTTGAGTTTTTGTTTTCTTTCTTGATGAGCAATGGCAAGCGGATACAGAGTTCAGTTTTAAGTAGACTTTAACAATATAGAAATGTAATGATCAAACTTTAATTACAAGCCATATCCTCGATGAGTTTCTGAGTATTGTTTTATAGCACCAAGTATGAGAAGACTAGAATATACAATGCCTATACAATGCCTAGAATTATAGAAGGAAAAAGTGTGCTCCTGAGAAACAGGAAAAGAAGAGGTGTGCAAACACAAACTCAACATGACGTGGCTTAACATTTTCTCCGACTTCAAAAAACAACCAATAAAGAGAATACGGAGTTGTAACAAGATCATAAGAATAGATCGTTTTCTCGATGTTGCGCATGCGTGCACATCCAAATTTAAGGAAGTTGACGGGCCACGATACCAGAACACGAGTATTATCATGCATTGCTATGAATTTTGTTTATAAGAATTCTTAAAATCGATTATTCTTCTCTTTAAATATTAAACTGGCTTCTCAATTTTGCTGAATTTGCGTTTTTCAGTTTTGTGGCCCGTCGTCAAGTTGGATGCGCACGCAACCTAGAGAAAATGGTCTATTGGAGCTTGAAATCGTTGAGTTTGATAACACGATGTTAGGATTCCCCTTAATTATGCGGCTAAAATAAAAAACAGTAGATTAAAGGTTTTTGTATGTAAATATAGGATGGTCTCTTTAGTACGTACATTCTCTTCTCTCTCTTCTCAAGGTAACTATTATTTCTCTCCTCTATGCATGAAGTACAAAATACCTTTTACATGAAGGCAGGTTGACCTTTGTGTTAGTAGACCTCCTCGACTCGGGCGTAATGTTTTCCCATTTCAGACCACGTGTCATTCCCTAGAGTATCATTTCTTTGTTTAACGGTAGGAATAGTAGGGATTATTAATACTAATATTTTTTCAATTAGTAAGCAAAAAAAAAAATTTTTTAACGTCCGTCCGTCCGTCCATCCATTTATTCATACATCGTTTTCAACATTAGAATTAGAATTTATAGAATACACTGACTGATCTACGGTTTTACTGTCTCTATGACTAACTGAAAGGCTAAACGATCGCATTGCCTTCTCTTTATATAGTGACCATCTAATACGAAACATTCAAAAATGAACGAAGTGATAGAAATAACAAAAAATAATAAAATGGCGTTATTTCTGACGCCTTCTAAAAACTAGTGAAGGAAATTGACCCTTTTTTGACGAAGTGCCATTGCTTCGTTTCCTCTTGCCCAGATATGTAATGACAACATCTTCAAATGCAATAGTAGTTCTACCCTGTAAACCATAATAGGAGTCTGGTCCAGATATGGTAGCTTCGATAGTGTAGACAACGTCTGGGTCTAAGGGAACAGGCTCGTCAAGATGAATGGTAAATCCATAATAACCATATGTCTCCTCATCTTCAGTTGGGAAGGTGGAGCAAATCTGCTGTATTAGTTGAGCACTCTTGTATAAGGCCAGGTTAACTTCGTATGAACAATCTTCAGCCCCGAATAGTCTCACACCAACAAGGAAGAGTGGTTTGTTGACCTTGAAATCAATTGCATCAATTGACAGACTAGAGTATGACCAATGGCCATTACAAGGGCTTATTATCATTTGCAAACGTGTATTTGGCATGAAGACTTCATATCTCCCTCTTTTCGTATTGTTGAATGATGCTCTTAAGGGCCATAAATCGTTAAAAATCTGAACCAATTGAGTCACTTCATCCATTGTCAGAATCCCACTCGGAAGTACCTTCTCTGCAAACTTCTTCTGTGACATCAGTGGAAATCGAATAAGTTTGATCACTTCTTCCCCAAGTACTGCTCTCTTATTCTCCATGCTCTCTCCCAAACCTTCTTCTGTGAGTTTATTCAAGGCCCATTTTTCCACTGCTTGGAATAAAACCACTTCATCAATGGACATAGTGTCCCTACCAAGCACTTCGCACAACATTTCCCTTGAAACGTTCAGAAATGATTCAGAAGACACAGCTCTTTCAGCATCGCTATCCACCATATCCCAGCACTTCTGTTCAACCTTCTCGTTACGTATCTGTGGTAATACGTGAAACACGTCTTCTGGTTTAAGATCCTTTTCAAGATATTCCTCACATTTCTCCTTCAGGAATGGCAGCATATATCTCTCTGCTAAATAGAGAACATCCAAAACATTACTTCCGGTTATGTTGACCTCGTCTGAGTACACGTATAGAAGCATTTCTTGTAGTCCTTCCTTGGTACAGTCTGGTAGATCGATAGTTCGTCCAGTCTCTGCTGATTCCCCGTAGAACATGGTCTCAAAGACAGGACTACTGATAGCCAGGACGTACTTGTGTGCTGGAATAGTGACTTTTTCGCCATTAGCATCCATCACAGACAATTCTACATCACAGAACAAGGACTTGTTGTAGGCGTACAGATGACGTTCTTTGAAGGACGATAACTTGGTTTGCCAGGCTGAAGCTTCCATTTTGATTATGAAGGTTTCTTCAGTTGTCTCGAGATCCCAACCTGAGTCTGAGTCTATAAAAACACAGCAAGAAATGATGCTTTAACTAGGGTACAACTTGATTTTATCTTCAGATAGAAAGTGAAACTACCAGCGATGCCAAAGTCTAGTCCTAGTCTCCTATCTGTCAATTAAAATCATTGTAAAGGTCAACTTTAGATCCAATATGAGGTTACGCGGTCGTGAAAAAGAACTTGGTTGAATTGGCTATGCGGTGCATTGTGACACTGTATGAAGAAGAAATGATCTTGGAAATATATCCCCTAAACAGTCCAACAATGTCTTGCAACACCAAATTCAACCAGCCTTTCTTCCAACCTCGTAATGGCTGATATGCATGCATTGATAACTCTAGCATTTGCCGGTATTATCGTGAGCGAGGGTACACGCATGCACCATAATATATAATGGTAATTGAACTGAGTGGAGTGCAATTTGGTCTGAAATCAAACGCGCGATTACAAAATCGCACGACCGCGTAGCGGGAGTGCGATTTGTAATTGCAAGTTTGATTTCAGACCAAAATTGCACTCCACTCAGTTCAATTACCACTTTATTATATCCATTTTGAAATCTTTTTTTGAAAAAGACGTTTTTTCCAGTTAAACCGACATGACTTACAATCTACAAGCAGTCGATTCAWACATGCTGTCAAGAGAACTTGTTTATACTGATCGAGCAATGATTCTCATTCATTCTGATTCTCTAAAATGAATTTATATAGGACCAAAAGGCATTACATGYATTAAGAATCGTTTACTTACATTAAATAGCAAAACAATCCTGCCCAAAAGGGTTGTAATGAACTGTCTGTTGTCCATACAGCCAATGCTCACTGCTCGTATTTTTACGATTTCTGTTCGACATGTTAAGATCACACTTGTGCCGAGAAAACAGCAAAAATCAAAGGTTGTTTAGTCCTTCGGTTGTCCTTAAGAAGTCACGTAGCTCAGCAAAAATCTTCTTCTTAAGAAAAACTTCTTTTAATGACTTTATTTTCGATGTGTTGTTATGCTTTACAGATTGAAAAGGAAACCACTTTCCACGATCAATCGCCAAGAAGTCACATTCAAAAGATGTCGATTGCATTTTCCCCCACTGCTTTTCGCTGCAATGTCTTCAACTTACTTAAGCAGTTACTTTACAAAGATGCTTTTGACAATTTTGAGTGATCAGTTGGTCTTTTTAAGTCCTTTTTATGGCTTCTTAAGTCTTTTTTACGACTTTTGACAGTAAAATCGTTCTTCAGAAAATTTTTTTGAGCCGTGGCTCTTTTTTTTCCCCAAGAAGCGGTGAGCTCAACACTCAGATGGATTCCTTGATATAATTGGCTAGAAAATGACATGTCTCTCTTGTGATTGGTTCATATCAGTTGATGTGCAAAATCGTGCAATTTAGAGCTCAAAATCGTGCAATTTATGCTGAAATCACTGCTGCAGGGAACCAATCAGATTGCAGGATTTGCTTGTGATTTCAAAATGGATGTAATAAGTGTATTAATTACATCCATTTTGAAATCACTGGTGATTTCTGCAATCTGATTGGCTCTCAGCATTGCGATTTATAATGGTAATTGAACTGAGTGGAGTGCAATTTGGTCTGAAATCAAACGAGTTATTACAAAATTCTACAAAAGAGTGCAATATTTAAAACTCAAAATGGTGCGATTCATAATTAAATCAACATCCGACAACTGATTTAATGTACATTCTACTTTGTAAATACAGTAGCCGGTAGTCATCAGAGGTCAAATGCCTTTTACCTTCATAGGACGGGAATCAGTAAAAATTTGAAAGACGTTTTATTTTGTGCTGATTTCGTTGAGTTACTTGTTTGATAGCACGATTTAGAATTCACCTGAATTATGTGGCTAAAAAAAGTAGATTGTAGGTTTATATATATAGAGGATATTACATGGGCGCGAGGAGATACGAATTTTATCTTCGAGTGTTCAATTGATGTCTCACTCGTTCGCTGCGCTCACTCGTGAGATATCTAAATTGAACACGAGAAGATAAAATTCGTATCTCCAAGCGGCCATGTAATGTTCTGTTTATTATATAGATAACGATGAAACTTAAATAAAACAAAAGCTCAAAAATTCTTTCTTAAAATACGTTACTATGTCAACAGCGATATCTTCACGTGTGAAAGATATGGTATCTTCCACTGGTGAAAGATATCAAGTTTTCGACACTAGAGAAAACCTGTTATTTCATCGATATCTATATCTTACTAAATATAGTAAATAAAGGATGGTCTCTAGTAAGTACTTTTAATTCATTTTTTTACCTTCTCAGAGTAACTATTATTTCTCTTCTCTATCCATAAGGCATAAAATGCCGTTTACATAAAGACAGGTTGACATCGATGTTCATAGACAGCCTCGGCTTGGGCGTAATGTTTTCCTATTTCAGTCCATGTGTCATTCCCTAGAGTCTTATGGCTTTGTTTAACGGTTGCACATGAAAGAATACATGAATACGGATACAACTCATAGAAAGAATGTTGCTCTCAGGGAAATGACACGTGGTCTGAAATTGGAATACATTAAAAAATAGGTTCTTTTTACCACTAGCTTTTGTATTGCGTTACTGGAACAAACTTTTATTTTCTTAGTATAGTTTGATTTCGTTTTCACTGTTGATATTATTCAGGATTTTTTAGGGGCTTGGCTTGCAATTATATATCTCAAATGCTGATTTATACCACTTGTTCCCTTTCTGTTTTTTATTCCTTCAATAGATGCTACAAATTTCCTCCGTTAGTTAATCTATAGGATAAGAAATTAAGGACTACTTTTAATTTATACCCAAAGTTTTCGTGTAAATACTATCAACGTTTACAGCACTTGGTGTCTGGAATTATGATCCCGTAAACCGCGAGCCAAACGTAACCAAAAGTCAAATAAATCTAAAAACAAGTGATTTTGAATAGAAATTTCAACACAACGGTAAATTGTTGCCTGTTAAGTCCCGTCGTGGACAATGGCAGAATAGCAATGTCTTTAAGTGAATACCATCTGTTCTCCAAGTCCACCTACAAGTATATCATTTTTAGTAAGACATTACTTTCTGCCATAACCAAACAAATTGTTATTCGCAACAAACAAAACTGACAAACAAACAAAAAATTATGGGAAACTGGACTGTGACTGGGAGAAAAAACAATCACAAATTTTAACCACTAACAAAGAACTGTAAAGTACGTACACAGGGAGCCCGGCTTTAGAATTGTACATGAATAAATAAGTCAATAAGGTACTTTGGGTTTCCTGTGTTGAGATTTGGTAGCTTGATAGCAAATTAATGTAAGTAGCTCGAGAGCAGCTTATAATTCAAATTTAACGTATCAGTGTAACGCACGCCCCAGTAAACTTACTGCTTACTAGGGCGTGCGTTACACTCATACTTTTACGTTAATCTGTTATCAAGTTACTGGTATTACGATCTCAACACAGGAAACCCAAAGCACTTTATTGATTAATTTATTCATGTACAAATCCCAAAGCCGGGCTCCCTGTGGTACGTACAATAATTAATGCTCAAACAGCTAGGTTCATGCAGTTCAAGGACTGGTTCAGTTGTTCCTTTTATCGTTTTAATACCACTGTTGGAAATTGACCCAATTTTGATGTTGTACCATAGCTTGGTATCTTTGAGTCCAAATATGTAATCAAGATATCATTAAACGCAATACTTGCTTTACCCAGATGACCATAATAGGACGGTGGTCCTGATATGGTAGCTTTGATGGTGTATACAGCGCCTGCCTCTGTAGAAACAAGCTCGTCAAGATAAATGTTAAACCCATAATAACCATCTGTCTGATTATCTTCAGTTGGGAAGGTGGAGGAAAGCTGCGTTATTGGTTGAGCACTCTTGTATAAAGCCAGGGTAACGACGTATGTACAACCTTTAGCACCGAAGAGTCTGACACCAGCAAGGAATAGTGGTTTGTTGACTTTGAAGTCAATTGCGTCTGATCGACTAGAATATGCCCAATAATGAAGACCACTGCTTGGGGCTGCAATTGATTTGAACCTTGCATTTGGCACAACAACTTCGTATTTTCCTCTTTTGGCATTGCTAAATGACGCCGAGAGCGGAACTATCTTATTGAAGAACCGAATTAATTCCGTCACTTCATCCAATGTCAGAATACCACTCGGAAGTACATTCTCCGCGAATTTCTTCTGTAACATCAGTGGAAATCTGATAAGCTTGATCACTTCTTCTCCAAGTACTGCTCTCTTATTCTCCATGCTCTCTTCCAAACCTTGTTCTTTGAGTTTATTCAAGGCCCATTTTTCCACTGCTTGGAATAAAACCACTTCATCAATGGACATGGTGTCTCTACCAAGCACTTCGCACAACATTTCCCTTGAAACATTCAGAAATGATTCAGAAGACACAGCTCTTTCAGCATCGCTATCTACCATATCCCAGCACTTCTGTTCAACCTTCTCGTTACGTATCTGTGGTGGATGTAATACGTGGAACACATCTTCTGGTTTAAGCTTATTTTTAATATATTCCTCACATTTCTCCTTCAGGAATGGCAGCATATACCTCTCTGCTAAATAGAGAACTTCCAAAACATTACTTTCGGTTAAGTTGACCTCATCTGAATAGAAGTATCGTAGCATTTCTTGTAGCCCTTCCTTGGTACAGTCTGGTACATCGTTAGTTCGTCCAGTCTCTGCTGATTCCCCGTAGAACATGGCCTCAAAGACAGGACTACTGATAGCCAGAACGTACTTGTGTGCTGGGATTGTGACTTTGTCTCCATTAGCATCTATCACAGACAACTCTACATCACAGAACAAGGACTTGTTGTAGGCGTACAGATGACGCTCTTTGAAGGAAGATAACTTGGTTTGCCAGGCTGAAGGTTCCATTTTACGAAGAAGGTTTCTTCAGTCGTCTCGAGATTGAAATATAGTTCTATGAAGAAAATAAATGAAGAAAATGAATGAAGAAAATAGAGAGAGAGAGAAAGAGAGAAATTGTCTTAAGTAAGCTGAGTATCGTTAACGTAATGTTTACGCTATTCTACTCGAAAGTGAAAGTCAGCCAAGAGTAGATAATTAAGTCTAGTCCCAGTTTTCTTTTTGTTTGGGTCGTTTGGCAATGAAGCGTTAAACACAAACTTATCTCAAAATGTGCTACGATTTTGATTAATGTTTCTTACGGTTTCTGTCGTGTACTAAAATAGAATAATACTTCGTCTTGTACAATATAAAGTGTTTACATCTTTGTAAGCAAAGTCACAAGTTTGGAGGTGGGATAGGGGTTGGATATCAGAGTTAATCTTATATAAATGGAAATTTAGGGGCAGCTCATAGGTATTTGACTATAATGGGCCAATTGACAATTTTCAAGTATACGATAAAAATTTGCATGCATCAGAGTGATGATAATGTTCTCGGTTGGTTTGAGGAGCTTCAATACGCAGCTTTGTTATGTCTGATAATTTGACATGGACCTTTCCTAATGTCACACAGTAGTCAAATTGTCAATGTCTATCATTAAATTTTTTTTATTTATTAATAAAATATAAATTTTTTATGAATTTTTCCAGAAATTTCAATCTACCTTCCGTCAGTTAAACATAACAGCGACGCCTACAATTATTTAGAAAATACACACTACGGCTGTAATTCGAAATCGGCTTCCAGCAGCTATCGCTCATGATCATCTTCTCTGCTGTTTATCAGCTGAGACAAGTGTCCTACTTTTCGCGTTCTTATCGATAACCCATCCAGACTTTCGCCTCAATTCCCTCGTATATGCTTTGTATTCTTGATACATATTTGAGAATTGTCACTGTGTCAGTCACTGAATAATTATGAGTTGGACGCGGGCGTTTCAGAACCCTCGAAAGGCTATGATTGCATTTCAGGCCCGAAGGGTCTTAAATTGGTCTGTAAATGCAAATTGCGCGAGTGATACTCATGAAAGATCAGTCGGAAAGAAAGTGGAAATCATACATTTATGGTCTGAATTAAACATCCAGAGAGTAACATTCCACACTTTAGCAATCCCTCAATCCATCATAGCGATAATTTACTCATTAAACTGCCAGGGAAGCCCAACTACTGGTCTAGTTGTCTTTTGACTATTCAAGGCAAAGAAGCCAGCCAATCAATTAATTGCCAGCTTTAAAACTGATCACTAATGCATTCTCCTCATCCTACCATTACTATATATACACTGAAGCAGAAAAATTCTGCGTCTACAACATATTCTTCGATTGCACGTTACGTCATCGCGGCCATGTTGGTGACATTTTAACAAAAGATCAACCTCGTTCCCAGGGCCCTCTCGGCCCGACTCCAAACAAAATGGCGGTCGTCGGGGAGAAGACCCTGGTAAAGGCTGGTCACGTGAACTAAAATACTCCAAGATTTTTGGAGTATTTGATCACATGGTTTTCGTTTCAAAATGGCGGCCAAACTAGTATTCCAAATCGTCTAAATGTGGGAAAAAAGGCCTTTCTTCGTGTGTATGTTGCTCCCGTTTTAGATTACAAGACAGCTTTTGGATTGCTTGAAGTATGAAAGCTGCAATTTGTGCGAAAGTTCACCAACAACGGTTTTTAAGCCATTTTTTGAGTCGTTTAGAAACTAAAGTGATGTAAACTTACTCCGGGACTTATGGTTTCACTTTCTACTGCTACTGCTACTTCTTCTACTTTTGACTGCTTGGATACTGAGATTCGGAGTTGTTCACTGTCTATCAAGTGACCCGTAGCTTAACTGTTTTTGACCCGTAGCTTAACTGTTATCTTTCTTGGAGTACTTCAAAGATCATAGGTCATGGATTTCATCATGTTGGATGCCTATGGCCAATTGTGTCTTGTTTTTCCCCAGCCATGAGAGAAACTCTTCATTATTCAGGTTGCTTGTGACAGACCTTGGTAGAAATGACAATCTTAATGTGCTCAATGTTCAAGCACAATTCAATATATACTGAATATTGTATATGTAGCCCTAAAACTTTAGAATTTCTGTTGTATTTAAAAAAGGATTCATTGAATAAAAAAGTATGTGCTTCCTTGCAAAACTGTTGTTACTGTCAGTATTTTTTCATGTTTTAGGTAATAGGATGAATAGTGAAACAATATCACAAATTAGCACCCTTCTGTGCACCCCTCTTCAGGCTATCCTTTTTTGGGGTAGACCATAACTTGTAAAAGTTCTTTTTCATGATGATTACTGATTGCAATTACTGTTTGCAATATTGAATTACACTATTAATGAGGATTTCTCATACTTGTATGAGTGGC